ATACCTGATAACTTATGGACCCCAGTCCTGATAACTTTGATACGGGGGTGGGGGTGGGGGTGGGGGTGGGGGGGAGTTGACGAAACACCCCCTCGGTAACTTTTTGTGTGAATAGTATGGTAACTCACACATCGCACACCTGATGACTTATGTACCCCAGTCTTGACAGCTTTGGCATGAGGAGGGTGGGAGGGGGGCGGTAACATTTGTGTGAATAGCATGGTAACCCACATGTTTGCAGAACTGATAACTTATTTACCCCGGTCCTGATAACTTTAGCGAGGGGGTTGATTAAATATACCCACATTAACTTTCATGTTAATAACACGGTAACTCACGCCTCGCAGACCTGATAACTTGTATACCCCTGGTCCTGATAACTTTGGGGACCGGGGTGGGGGGGAGGGACATCATGAAATATACCCTCGGTAACTTTCATAGATGAAGTGGAATTTTTCCAGAAAAATAGCTTTCGTTTTTTCTTATGACAGTAGTAACAAAGAGTTTAAAACAATTTCGTTGTTGAACTAATGAACAACAAACTAGGTTGGCGTGATGGTTGTTGGGCTTTGTACTTGGGCCTATCCTTTCCACCTCGACGCAGGTTCGAATCCTGTGTAGGTAATTTTTTCGCGTTTTTAATTATGGTGCAATAAATCGATCGGGAGAAGCACGGGAATAGCGGTGGAGCGTTGTTTCCCCCATCGAGGGGATCGTGCGGATCTGTCGCTAACGACTAGTCGACTGGTCGTTAGCACAGTCCTTAACCGTATAACGCGCACACCACTTGATCTAATGGCCGACCCATCTAAGTTTCATGCGAGAGAAAGCTCGTCCCGGTTTTGGGAAACTTCTGGAAGCTTCCCATCCAATTTTGGGAAGCTTCCGCCTGATTATTTTTTGGGTTTTCGGAATTGGGTTTTGTTCAACATTTTTGTGGTTTTTAATTTTATGTTTCTTCTTTTTTATTTTTTAGAATGCACAAACTTTTTGAATTTTGGTGATTTTTTTCCTCAAATTTTGTATTTTTTTCCAAACTTGCGAGTCTTTTTCAAAGTTTATGAAAGTTTTTGTATTCTTGGACCTTTTCTCTAATTTTGTGAACGTTTTCAAATATGTGTGTTTTAGTATTCGCAAAAAGGTAAAATTTCGAACCTTTTTTGAGTTCGTGATATTTTTCAAAGTTAATGATTTTTTGTATTCACGAATTCTGTCAAATTCCTGAACTTTTTTTGTCTTCCCAATTTTTTAAATTCTTGAACTTTCTCTTATTTACGAACTTTTTTCAAAATTGTTAACTTTTTTTGTATGGTTAAAGAAATGCGAGCAAACCGGCAGTGGATCACTCGACGCGAACCAAGCGCTCCTGCTAATGGGCCAGCACAAGAGACGGCGCTGACGAGCGCCTGTGCAGCAACCAGCGCTCGAAGCGCGGATATAGCTCTCGGTTTTTTCCCCTAAAAAAAAGCTCTCGATTGTTTATGTACGTGAAATCAAAACGTGGATGAGTCACCTGGCTGAGACATCGCCAAGTCTCAGTCGGCTAAGCCTTAAGCCACCCCCTTCAGATTTTACGAGGTGTAGAAAATGTATTTTCAACGAAACAACAAATAGAAGGTTTCCTATAGCCCGGCCACCAAATGCACCCTTCAGTACAACCAACAGTCGCCGCCCTAATCAACGCGTGATCCTACACTGTGGTACATAAACAGATGTGCTACTACTAGATGATGATGACCATCCCTTGATCATATTTCAAGGCTATAAATAGTCGCTGCGATAACACGCACATCCCTTGATATAATGGGCCGGCCCAGCTAAGTTTCCTGCAAGAGGAATGCACATCCCTTGATCTAATGGGCCGGCCCATTTAAGTTTCCAGCGAGAGGAAGCCCCCCTCAAAAGCAACTAGTTAACGAGCGCTCCTTCAGAAACCTCGCAACAATTAGCGTCACTTGGCGCGCTCTCAGCCATTCGTCACGTGTCGCGTTCTGGACACTCCCTTCAGATTTTATTTATTTTATTTTTTCGCACGCGTTTTTGGTTTTTTGAACGGGTTTTTTTGACATTTTGGTTTTCCCCCAGTCTTCCTTAGCTTTTTAATAAAAAAATTATGAAAAAAAAATTGCGCAAAGAAACGCGTTTTCTTTTTTTTCGCGAAAAATCACGGTTTTTCTTCTACGAGAGGCACGGTTGTGCTTTAGCGAGAGTCGCGGTCGTGCCTTTCTGAAACGAAAAAAAATATATTTTCTGTTTTTTTTCTTTCGCGAGTCATGATTTTACTTTCACGAGAGGCACGGTTATGCTTTCATGAGAGTCACGGCCGTGCCTCTCGAAAAGGGAAAAACAAAACGCGTTTTCTGTTTTTTTTCTTTCGCGGGAGTCATGGTTTTGCTTCCGCGAGAGGTACGGTTGTGCTTTCACGAGAGTCACGGCTGTGCCTCTCAAAAAAGGAAAAAAACGCATTTTCTGTTTTTTTTCTTCCGCGAGAGTCACGGTTTTGCTTTCACTAGAGGCATGCTTGTGCTTTCGCGAGAGTCACGGGCGTGTCTCTTTCGAAAAGGGAAAAAACGCGTTTTTTGTTTTTTGTTTTCCTTTCACGAGAATCACGGTTTTGCTTTCACAAGAGGCACGGTTGTGATTTCGCGAGAGGCACGGGCGTGTCTCTTTTGGAAAGGAAAAAAACCGTGCTCCCGGATTCCATTTTTTCGCCCGTTTTTTTCGTGTAAAAAAGTTCGTCAAAACCTATCAACATGAGATCCAGTTTTGAAAATCTCGACGTGAGGAATCCAACGGTGGTAACGGTTTGAGATTTGGACGCATGGTTTAAGAGATAAAATATTTTGAATAAATGAACGAAAAAAGGTAAAACTCTCATGTTACGATAAGTGGTGCGCTGCATGTGCGCCACTTGTCGTGACCTGGGAAGGTGGAGTGTTCTTTGCAACGAGTACTCCTTAATTAGTGATTTCAGCTCCTCCCTGTTTTGGGAAACCTCTGGAAGTTTCCGGCTCGTTCTTTTTTGAGTTTTTTTGGACATTTGTTTGATTTTTTATTTTATTTTTCATCTTTTTATTTTTAAGAATGCACAAAGTTCTAAAAAGCTGGTGGGTTTTTTTCTCAAATTTTGCATTTTTTTGTCAAACTTGCGTGTCTTTTTCAAACTTTATGGACTTTTTCATATTCACAATCCTTTTTTCCATTTTATGAACCTTTTAAAATATGTGTGTTTTCATGTTTGCAATCTTTTTCTAAATCCCCAAACTTTTTTTGAGTTCGTGATATTTGTCAAATTCATAAAACTTTTCAAATTTAATGATTTTTTGTATTACCGAACTTCTGTCAAATTCCTGAACTTCTTTTTTGTTCCTGAATTTTTTAATTCGTGAACTTTTTATTTATGAACTTTTTTTCTAATTCATTAACTTCTTTTGTTTAGGAATACGAGCAAACCAGCTGTGGAGCAACCGAGCGGAGCAAGCGCTCCTGCTAATGGGCATGCGCAAGAGTCGGCACTCACTAGCGCCACGCTCGAAGCGCGGATATAGCTCTCGATTTTTGGTGCACGTGAAATCAAGACGTGGACGAGTCACCCGGCTAAGACATAGCAAAGTTTCAGTCGATTAAGAGCATGTACAATGGTGGTGGTATATGGTTACATATGCCCCATGATAAAAAGTAATTTAAGGTATTTATATTTTTTTTCCCAATGCGAGCTATTACTAGTGGGCCTCATTAAAAAATAGAAAATAAAGACTCTAGTACATATACATCTCTACTTTTTACTCTAACCTTTTCAGATTTTGTCATCAGACCATACTTTTTCTCTTCAAGCACCCATCTCCTGGAGAGGATCCTGCTTTCCTATCCAAACATACTTTACGTTATATTCGATCCTACATGATATGCGAGGCATCACCTTAAGGCTATACATTGTACATGCCTTAAGCCTTAGCCACTCCCTTTCAGATTTTATGAGGTGTAGAACATGTATTTTCGATGAACGATAAATAGAAGGTTCCCTACTGCCTGGCCACCAAATGCACCCTTCAGTACAACCAACAGTCGCGGCCCTAATCAATGCATGGCCCTACGCTATGGTACACGCCCCTAAACAGATGTGCTCTAGTAGATGATGATGGTCATTTTTGGCCAGCGTCTAGAACGTCCGCTCTCGCAGCACTGCTGCAGAGTGCAGATCGATCCAATGGCGGTCCAGCCGGCCGGCTGACGTCTAGCGCGAGCATAGTTTATTCATCCTAGAGACAGCTATCCAGATATCCACATACCCACAGCTAGTTAAAGCCTCGGCCGGCCGATTCACAGCACATACGGTAGCTATGGCGACGGCAATAACAGAGTGCACTCCGTCCTTCTTGGCCGCTGCCGGCCTCGCCGTGCTGGCGATCTGCTCGTACCTTGCCGTCGTCCTCCGCCGCGGCGGCGTCGCCGGAGCGAAGCGGTACCCGCCGGCGGTCGGCACGGTGTTCCACCAGGTATACCACCTCCGGCGGCTGCACGACTACTACACGGACCTGTTCCGCGAGCACATGACGTTCAGGCTGCTCTCACCGGGACGGGGGCAGATTTACACGTCCGACCCGGCGGTGGTCGAGCACATCCTCAAGACTAACTTCTCCAACTACGGCAAGGTGCACAAATACAGTATCCTCAGGACTTTGTTTTTTTCGAGGGAATCCTCAGGACTAACTTAGGAGTACAAGTACAGTAAAATGAGTAAAATGGCAGTTAATTAAGGACCCCTTAATTCAGCTATATATGCGTGCTCATATGTGTTAACTAATCTGGACATAGAGAGCAACTTCAGCATGCATATGAGATTATGAGTTAAATCATTCAGACTGGCCTGTTAGATGAAGGGTGTGGCTAGATCTTAGTCGACCGAGACTTAACCAAGTCTTAGTCAAGTGACACAATATATAAAAAAGAAGATTTTTTTTAAATTGCACGGATCTCTACGTAAAATCTCATGAATATAATATCGTCTGAGATTTCGTTAAGTCTTAGTCGACTGAGATTTCGTTAAGTCTCTGTCGACTGAGATTTAGCAATCCCGTTAGATGAAAATCCTGCTCTCCGCTTTGGCCTCAATCTTATTACCTCCCTCCTGCTATCGTTGGCCTAGTTTCGGCTTAATTCAGTTTGGTATAAAAAAAACTCTTGGAGAATAGTGTTGCTTTTATTTTAAAACCCCTGGAGAGCCCGACGTGTGGGATTTCCTAGGGGTGGCCGTCTGATGGGGTGTGTGCTCATCATCTTGACTTGCCTCCCTAACGTGGGAGCTGTGGTTTCAGCTTTCATCGTTGAGGGAAGCGCATTGTGGAAGAAGCTTGCCTGCTGCTTGCTTGCTGGTAGGTGTGCGTGGGTGATCTAGTGGTAATGTAAGACGTTGTGGTTTCTGTCAATGGAAGTCAGACATGAAACTCTCTTTAAAAAAAAGCTAATAAAGAACTAAAACCATGACACTATTATGGATCGGAGGGAGTAGTAGATTGTTATCCTTGTTAGAGATCTTGGACTTGGATTCGTTAATTGTAAAACAGTATCAGTTCCCCATTTTTATCGTGCAATTGGATGTGCTAACAACACATGTGCAAGAATTTTGACGCAAAACTAACTAATCTACCTGTTCCATAATGTAAGATTATTTTGCGAGCTACTTTAGCTTATAAAAACATTTTATATTATGGGACGGAGGGAGTAAAAGAGTTGGCCTCAGCAAGTGATAGTGATGTTATTGGCTGACATGTGTATGATGCTTTGGACAAATACACAGGGCGTACGAGTTAGACACCCTTTACCAATATACTCCTTATGTTCACTTCTATAAGACGTTTTAGATTGTACAAATAGTACCCAAAATAATTCATGGTCAGTTGCCTAAAATGTCTTATAAAAAAGAATGGAGGGAGTACTAGCTAGTACCAATATACCCAAGAGTCAATTATACCGGTGGTGCCTAAACTTGGCGCAAACGGTCATTTTGGTGCTAGAATTAGTGACATACATTGAACTAGCGCAAAAACCTGGCTCGGACGTGCAAGTACAGTGCAAATCACGTTTGGATACGAAGCGATGCTGACTTGGCATGGGGCCCACTGTCACTGATTGGAAGGCTGAGAGGAGGGCGTATGGCCTGTTTTTCTTTTGCAAAAAACAACTTGAATTGGCATTTTATTTTTTCGACTCTATGAGAGATGGGTCCCGTATGTCAGTGCAGTGTGAAAATTAACGATAAATAAAGCTCCCGTGTCTCGAACCCTTGACTCTGCCTTGCACACAGAAGGATGTAGGGACTACACCTTCTAGTATTCACGTCACAAAATGGATAACTAATGTGGCAGAACAGAGACGCTCGTGGAGCTGAAATGGACTGTGATCAATGCCGCCCGTTTGCACCTGTTCTTTTCTAGAAATTTGTAAAAGGTATGTAACTTCTAATCTCAATAATGAAAATAATATTTAATTATTTGCGTGGTACAAATATTATACATACAAACTTAATAACTTACGTTTCATAATTGTTCACGTGTTGTTTTAAAAATATTCATATATTTAAAATAAGATTTATGAATTACAAAAATGTTTGGCTAATTAATAACAATACAAATATTTTTAACATTACAATTCCGAAATATTATTTAAAGTATAAAAACAATTCTATAATTATACACACATGTTTATATTTCAATGTTTGTATAAATAAATATTCATAATTTAAAATTTAAAATTTCATATGAATATTCATTAGTGGCTAATATTTCAATTATATTTTTCTGAATATAAATCAGGAGTGAAAATTATATCGCACAAATGTTTGTATTCATCATTTTGTATCATTTAAATATAAGCTACAAGTGTATAATTTTTTTGTATCCATTGAATAAACATTTAAATCTCCGTATTTACCAAACATTTTTATATAATACTCCCTCTGTAAAGAAATATGAGAGCGTTTGGATATTTCTTTACGAAAGGAGTACATGGGTGTATATTCATATAGTTTTATTTACTAATCATTGTTTGTATATAATATTTATAACACACGAATATTTGAACATTGTTTTTATTACTTACGTTTTACATATGTATTAAAAACTAGTGCGTGCTAAATGGGCCGCGCTATTTGCAGCTCGTATAAGTCCCACATGCGTTCTCCTGATGGTTGCTAAAAAAAATATGCATCCTCCTTACATTAAAAACTACTATTATCAGAATCTGTCATTTCAACGTAAATGATGGACTGGCTTGGATGGTTAGCTATCCAGCAGTTGGTCTTGGGTTCAAGACCTGTGGGCGTTTGTTTCATTTTTATTTTCACGTACTGAGAGGTGGGCCCCATGTGTCATAGAGTCAAAATAAAATGACATCTGCTGCGTGTTGATAAGGGTTTTTTGTGAGAAATAAAAAAAGTTGAGGGGTTTTTGCAAAAAAGAAACAGGCCCCACGCCACGCTGGCGCGCCAAGTCAGCGTCAATTTCGTATTCAAATGTGATTAGCACAGCATTGCATATCCATACCAAGTTTTTACACCAGTTTAATGTATGCCATAAGTTCTAGGGTATGTTTGGTTTAAGCCCCAGCTTGCCACACCAAAATTTTGGTATGACCAATGCCAAAGCATGACCAAAAATTTGATAAGCTATTCTTGTTTGGATTGTAGCCATCGGATGGTCGATGGTCGTCCACAAATGCATGTGCATGCTAATCATGAGAAGGCTCACTAAGTAACTACCAGCCAAAGAATCTGCAGCCTAGTTGCATGCATTATACTAATAAAAAAAGGTAAAACTGGCTGGGGCCCACCAAAACAGAGAGGGCAAAAGGTGACGCCAATTTTTTGGCGGAGCTTCTCCACGCCCTTGGCTCGTCAACTCGTTGGCCAAAATTATACACGCGATTAGCGGCTGTCGTTGGCGCGCCGATTTTTTGGCAGCAGTCCAAACTAGCACCAAATTTTGCGGGCAAGCCAAAATTTTGGTATAATATGGTTTGGTTGTCATTCAAATACATCCCTAACACCAAAATGACTGTTTGTGTCAAGTATAAGCACCATCAGTGTAATTGATTCTATACCCAAAACTAATAAAACAGATGCCCTCACCAAGTCAGCGTGATGTTATTCGCTGACATGCGTACGATGTTTCTGAACAAACACATAGGGCGAGTCTAACTACGAGAACACGAGCGACCTCTTCGGCGACGGCATCTTCGCGGTGGACGGCGACAAGTGGAAGCAGCAGAGGAAGATCGCCAGCTACGACTTCTCGACGAGGGCCCTCCGGGACTTCAGCGGCGGCGTCTTCAACAAGAACGCCGCCAAGCTCGCGCACATCGTCTCCGACAACGCGGCGGCGAAGCAGCCCATGGACTTCCAGGCACCGATCTGATCAATCTGGCAAACCATCATTTCCTATCGATCATAGGGGGGTTCTGACAAGGCTGTCCTGCATGTGCATGTCTCTTGGATCGATCAGGCCTTGCTGATGAAAGCGACGATGGATTCCATCTTCACCATCGCCTTCGGCCTGGACCTCAACACGCTGTCCGGGGCGGCGGCGGACGAGGGGAGCCGCTTCGCCGCGGCGTTCGACGACGCCAGCGAGTTCATCCTGCTCCGCTTCGTCAACGCGTTCTGGAAGGTGGCGAGGTTCCTCAACGTCGGCGCGGAGGCGGCTCTTAGGCACAGGATCAAGGTCGTCGACGAGTTCGCGTACAAGCACATCCGCGCCAGGGCCGACGAGATGTCGGTCGGCAAGGCACACGACGCCGTAATCTAACCTGCTCTGACCTTATTCCATCGACTTAACACGCTTGCTGTGCTTGAAATTGAGCTCGAGTCCTGACTTGGTTACTTACTACTCGACTTGACAGGAGTCGAAGTGTGATTTGCTGTCGAGGTTCATTCAGGCGACCACCAGCGAGTCCGGGGAGGTGGATTACAAGTACCTGCGAGACATCATAATGAACATCGTCATAGCCGGCAAGGACACGACCGCCGGAGCGCTGGCCTGGTTCCTCTACATGATGTGCAAGCACCCGGAGGTGCAGGAGAAGATCAGCGAGGAGGCCAGGGAGGCTGCCGACGCCGGCGAGACCGCGTCCATCGACGACTTCTCGCAGAGCCTTACCGACGAGGCGCTGAACAAGATGCACTACCTGCATGCCGCCCTGACAGAGACACTCAGACTGTACCCTTCGGTCCCGTTGGTGAGTCCATCCATCCATAACAGCAAGCTCCAAACTTGTAATCATCGAAGGAAAAGTCGTTGCTTTGTGGGATTGCATGTAAAATTGTACTCCTACGTAATTTTTGTTGGGTGTTTCATCAGGATAACAAGGAGTGCTTTTCGGACGACGTTCTGCCCAACGGCTTCAGCGTCGGCAAGGGGGACATGGTGTTCTACGCCCCCTACGCCATGGGCCGGATGGAGCGCCTGTGGGGCGAGGACGCCCAAGCCTTCCGGCCCGAGCGGTGGCTCGACGAACACGGCGTGTTCCAGCCAGAAAGCCCTTTCAAGTTCACAACTTTCCAGGTATAACCATGTCACATCCCTCAAAAAAAAAGGTAACCATGTCACACAAAAACACCATGACCTTCCAAGTGAAACGTGTTCTGAACTTGAAAGATAATACTGGCAGCTGAAACTTGTTCTGGACATACCTATCCTCAGAAATTCAATGGTCAGATTTTAATATACTGCTCCCTCCCCTGTCAGCAGTATAGGGTACTGTAAAAAACGGTCTATAACTTAGCTATATTTGTGAGGGTTATTTCTAAAACTTGTTCTGAACATAAGTTAGCTATATTTGTGAGGGTTATTTCTAACTCGGGACACCTGCTACTTGGTTGGTCTGCATGCAGGCTGGTCCGAGGATCTGCCTGGGAAAGGAGTTCGCGTACAGGCAGATGAAGGTCTTCGCGGCAGTGCTGCTCCGTTTCTTCGTGCTGGGTCTGCGCGACAAGGACGCCAGCGTGAACTACAGGACCATGATCACGCTCTACATCAAGCAGGGTCTCCATCTCACGGCTGTGGCGAGATGATTGTGCTTGGGCATATACACATACAGATACAGTAGCTGGCAGCTGGCTTGCCAATGCGAGTGACAGGCCCATGCGTCCTTCTGCAGAGACACCAAAGATACTATGCGACTTGTGTGTGGTCGCCACGCGCGAATAATAAGCTGAGTCCAGCGTCAGTATATAGTGTGGTCTGTGCAGAGTAGCATCTCTGTGATTGTGATTGTGATTGTGATTTGTGAATCGGACCTCTCACCGGTACCAGAATGGATTGCTTTTTTTCTCCGCAAACTCTTTTTTCTTTCTCAGAAGAGTACGTTTCTGGGGGCCTTCGTGTTCATGACAAATGGACCGCGGGGACTTGCGCATGTTTTTCTTTTCTTTTTGGGATTTTTTAATCTATTCATCTACCAGCATTCCGGCGGCTGCGTGCGTCTTCACAACACGGCTGCGCATGGATTGATCATAGCGGACGATGACGACGTCTTTGATGTCTTTTTTCCTCCCGAGGGTATCATTTTGAAGCTGACTAGAGGGGCCAAGAGGTGGTGTGGTGTTGCATCTATTGCATCGTCCGGCGGGTCTCAGCGGCGTGACGCAGTGGAGTCTCAGCAGTTGACGCGTGTAAATGGACGCGCGCAGGGTGTTGGCGTAGTGGTGACGTCAGATGACAGTTGATTCCTCCTGAAGATGGTATAACAGAAGATGGTAGCGGCGGATTCTTTAGTGTGTGTGCATGCAGAGCACGCTAAGGGTCGGCTAGATCGGTTGGTACTCTCGGCTCGCCGTGGGGCGGCTTGGCGAGGCCACCGGGTTAGATGGTGTGTGTTCGTGCGAGGTCAGGGCACATCATCATGATTGTAGGTGTAGCGACATATGTCATCGAGGAGGTGTCTTTGAATTGATCCTTGTATTTATTTTGTCAAGCTATGTTGGATAATTTAACAAAGATGACACGTGTGCATCCTTGAACGCAAAGACCAGGTTTTAACCTCCTTTTCAAAGAAGAAAAGGTACAAAGAATACCAGAAGTAACATGGATTACATCCAGGTTTGTAGATCATCTAACGAAGACTACAATCACCAGAGCGAGCCGAAGGAGCGCCGCCGTCATTGCTTTTCCTTCATCGGAGTCGGACAAACCTTGTTATAGTAGATAATCGGGAAGTCGTCATGCTAAGGACCCTTAGGACCATCGCACTAGAACATCAACCTTCTCCAATGAAGAGAAGCGTAGATCGGAAGGATCCAACCCGTAAATTCAGGAACACAAACGAACGAAAGACCAGATCCAAGTGGATCCACCAAATACCAACACCGACCGTATCCCACGAGATCTGTCGGGAACACACCTTCACACGCCCTCCGACGCTGCTAGACGCACCACTGGGACCAGGGCTAGGTGAGGAGAAGCTTATCCCATCTTCAGGGAGCCGCCGCAGCCTCGCCTTCGGCCTTCCCGAGTAGGACACAAAGCCTAACCAAGCTAATAAAAGCACCTAAAAACAGTACCCACATGTCGGTAAGGGTAGGGATCCATCGTGTCTCCATGACCCTAGGGCGTTTCCAACTCATAGGGAAGTAGTATGGGGTATAAGCACAACGAGCATACACTCAGACATTTGCATAGTTTAGATATGCACAACCAACATCAAAGCACACACACAAATGATCGACCGACAAATAGGGAAGCCATAGAAAACGCAATGCCTAGACGGGGGGAGGGGGTAAAACGGTAAAAAGGAGTAGCATTGATCCTGGCTCGGCAGTTGCAACCACCAAAAATGATGCAAGTGCATATGGTCCAGACCTGATATCCACACAAGCTCAAAACCGTACACACACTAGGCAAATGGTCAATCACCTACAACTAAGTGGATCCACTAATCGTGCGGTGCTACTTGTGATAGACGTTGGGACTTTTTCTAAAGAGGAAGGGTGAAGTAGTATAGTAGTAGAAAGTATTTCCCTCGGTTAAGAACCAAGGTTTATCGAACCAATAGGAGATTCATGCAAACAAAGGTTGACAGTACCTGCACACACACAAACAAATACTTGCATCCAACGTAGGCAAGAGGGTTGTAAATCCCCTTGTACTCATTAATTGTAAGGATTACTTCTCATAGTGGTAGATATATAAATCGAAAAACAAAATAAAAATAAATAAATTGTAGCAAGGTTTTAGGGGTTTAGTAATATGAGGTGAATGGACAAGGGGGGGGGGCATAACTTTCACTAGAGGCATCTCTCTCAAGAACATAGCAAACGGTGGGTGCACAAATTACTGTTGGGCAATTGATAAAAAAGCGCATAGTTATGATGTTATTCATGGCATGATCAATACATATCCATCACATCCCTAACAAGTAGACCGTTAAACTTATTAACGCCTACTACTATTACTCCACTTCGAGAGTGCTTCTAAGCTTGCCTCTCTAGGTATTAAGTTCATAACAAACATAGTATTGCTTTAAGTATGATGACATAATATAGACAAAATAAGACCAAGCAATATGATCTAATCATGTCGTTTTATCCTTAATAGCAGCAATACAAATACGTGCCTCGCTACCCCTTCTATCATGAGGTTAGGACACGGCAAGATTGAACCTACCATAAAGCACCTCTCCCACTGAAGATAAATAAATCTAGTTGGTCAAACTAAACAGATAGATCGCAGAGAAATACAAAGCCATAACAATCACACATAATAAAGTTTAGAAATAACTCAATTACTTTCAATGAACAATATGATCATAAACCCACAGTTTATCATATCACAACAAACACACCACATGTGTATTATATATGTAGATCTCCGAAGATTACATCTTATTGAAGATCAGAGAGAGAGAGAGAGAGAACCATCTCGCTACTGCTATGGACCCATAGGTCTTGTGACACATCATCGGAGTGGCAACAAGGTTGACGTAGAGGCCCTTCATGTAACGCCCGGATAATCAAGCTACAGTAATCCCCTACTAATGATGCGATGTCACCACTGTTACTGTTGCTAAGTCTCACGTTGATTCAAATCAATTCAAATTTCAAATTTTAAAAATAAAGTCAACAATTAAAGTCGGGTCGGCTCGTAGAGTACCCGCGAGTGATTCACGAAGGTGGGGGCTGAAGGGCAGGTGGTTCCATCCAGGTACTGGTTGACTTGGGTTCCCGACGCCCCCTGAGTGATACCTTGTGGCGGAGCGACAGGGCAGATTGAGATCACCTAGGAGAGAGGTAGGGATGTGACATGTTGATCTTCCAAGGCCGGGTATGACCCAGGAAAGTGTGCTCGGCCAGAGTGATTGAGCATGTTGGGAAATGTGGTGCACCCCTCCAGGTAAGTTGATCTATTCGAATAGCCATTTCCACGGTAACAGGATGCTTGGAGTTGTATTCCGACCTCTGACAACTAGAATCAGATACTTAATAAAACACACCCAGATAAGTTCCAGAGACAACTCGGTGATCTCTCTCTCATAGGGTGGCAAGGAGAGGATCGTCGGGTTTGTTTATGCTATACGATGATACTTGATACTTACCAACTACTCTCTTCTATATACTTCAAGATGGAGGCTGCCAGAAGCGTAGTCTTCGATAGGACTAGCTTCTCGCCCTCTTATTCTAGCATTCTGCATTTTAGTCCACAGATACTACCCCTTTCATTTGATACCGATGCATATGTAGCATAGATCTGATGTCATTCTTGCGAGTACTTTGGATGAGTACTCACGGTTGCTTTGCTACCTCTTTTCCATCTATACCCGGTTGCCGTGATCAGATGGTGGATCCGAGGAGCCAGACGCCACCGACGACGACTACCACTACACCGACGGAGCCTACTACTACGTGCACACCGCCAACGACCATGAGTAGTTTAGGAGGATCCCAGGCAGGAGGTCTGCGCCTCTTCGATTTGTATCCATGTTTGTGAAGGAAATATGCCCTAGAGGCAATAATAAAGTTGTTATTTATATTTCCTTATATCATGATAAATGTTTATTATTCATGCTAGAATTGTATTAACCGAAAACTTAGTACATGTGTGAATACATAGAGAAAACAGAATGTCCCTAGTATGGCTCTACTTGACTAGCTCGTTAATCAAAGATGTTAAGTTTCCTGCCATAGACACGCGTTGTCCTTTGATGAATGGGATCACATCATTAGGAGAATGATGTGATGGACAAGACCCATCCGTTAGCTTAGCATTATGATATTTAGTTTTATTGCTATTGCTTTCTTCATGACTTACACATATTCCTCTGACTATGAGATTGTGCAACTCCCGAATACCGGAGGAACATTTTGTGTGCTTGAAACGTCATAACGTAATTGGGTGATTATAAAGATGCTCTAAAGGTGTCTCTGATGGTGTTTGGTGAGTTGGCATAGATCGAGATTAGGATTTGTCACTCCGCGTATCAGAGAGGTATCTCTGGACCCTCTCGGTAATGCACATCACTATAAGCCTTGCAAGCAATGTGACTAATGAGTTAGTTATGGGATGGTGCATTACGTAATGAGTAAAGAGACTTACTAGTAACGAGATTGAACTAGGTATGATGATACCGACGATCGAATCTCGGTAAGTAGCATACCGATGACAAAGGGAATAACGTATGTTGTTATGCGGTTTGACCGATAAAGATCTTCGTAGAATATGTAGGAGCCAAGATGAGCATCTAGGTTCCTCTATTGGTTATTGACCGGAGATGTGTCTCGGTCATGTCTAGATAGTTCTTGAACCCGTAGGGTCCGCACGCTTAATGTTCAATGACGATTTGTATTATGAGTTATGTGATTTGATGATCGAAGTTTGTTTGGAGTCCCGGATGAGATCACGGACATGACGAGGAGTCCCGAAATGGTTGAGAGGTAAAGATTCATATATTCAAAGGTAGTATTCGGACATCAGAATGGTTCTGAGTGATTTAGGCATTTTTCCGGAGTATCGAGGGGTTACCGGAACCCCCCGGGGGAATATTGGGCCTACATGGGCCATAGGGGAGAGGGGAGGCAGCCCACAAGGGGTGGCCGCGCCCCCTCCCTATAGGGAGTCCGAATTGGACTAGGGAGGGGGCGTGCCCCCCATTTCCTTCTCCTCTTTCTCTCCCTTCCCTCTCTCTCTCCCCTCTTGGAAAAGGAAGGGGAGTCCAACTAGGATT